ATCTGCTTCGGGTACTTTCTGAATAGGTGCCGCAAAATGGTTCTTGCCACTGGAGTGTTTTAACATCGGAAGCACAGTTATCATTAATAGTTTGCAGATTAGTCAAATATTGCATGAAAGGTAGATAGCAGCGAGAAATGATCATCAGCATAGAGCAGTCTGCCTTTCTTGTGAGATGTGCAGAGACAAACTGCATGTCAGTGTAGCCAAGTGTGGTTACCTATTCAGGAGTGAGAGCGTAGTCCACACTTAAAACTACATCAATATCCTAGGAAGCATGACACCAAGAAAAAAAATGGAAGCTAAAATTAATAGTTTGCCTTTTTTCCCTTTGTTTTGTTTTTTGGCTGCAAGTTTAAAACAGTTAAAGGGGAATTGTAAGTAGGAAGTTTTAATATTTCCATATTTAAAACGTTATCCATGTTTTAATATTGTAGTCTGTGTATCATTAGCTTAAAATAATAACTGCAGGTAAATACCCTGAAACCAAAACATTGCTAATGAAAACTTCCATACAGAGGTCAAAAGCCTAATAGCTGGAAACTGAAGCTATGCAAATGAAGACTAAAAACAATAACGTAAAGAACCTCCTTTTCTTTTAATAGGGTCCTTAATTCTTAACATGAATTATGAAAGGTGATAACAAATTCATTAGAAATAAATAAATATTTTAATTTTGAGAGGTTACAACTTGTTATCTGTGATTCTGATAAGTAGCAGCTGTCAACTTCTGCTATACTAATAGTGTCCAGTACTGTAGTATTTGTGACGTTCGGAGATAGGTTTAGCCAAAAATTATAATTATGAGACGGAAGCTTTAGAATTGGCTCTGAAGTTATGATTTCAAAATTAAATAATTTAATTTCTGAAATTAAATCACTGAGCACTATTAAATGAGCTTCACTGGTCTTGTTTAAAATTTTCAGTTCTGATTTATAACCTACCTTTTTAAAATTGTAACAATTCTAAGGACTGATACACGTGAATATTTAATTTAATAAATTTAGTTAGATGATTCAACTAATTCATTTATTTTGCTTGAGGTCAATACTAACTACTTTTTGTTGATTTGATACCTGCGCTACATCCTTCTAGTTTAGCCTAGTCTCATTAAAAACATAACCTTGGTGAGGTTTTTTGTTTTTTTCCCCTTTAATATGGTCGATTCATTACTAAATCTCATTTCTTTTAGTAAATAACATGAGTTCAGAACTGCCGAAAATGGATGAACAGATGAATAGCAGCTTGTCAGTATAAAATTAGCCGTCCTCACTGGTCTTCCGATTTGATAGCTCCTTTTCGTGCAGCTGGCCCAGCCGGGGAGCAGAAGGCATTTGGGGCTGATGTTTGTTTGGTTGCTTTCCAGCAGTATCTCCCTGGAAAACTGCAGGTAGAGCCGGCGTTTGGTGGCTGAACGTTTCCTCTCTTGTGCTGCAGCAGAAGAGTCTCCTTTGTAGCTCTGCTGCTTCCTGATTATGTTTGAGCATGTGAACCTCTTGGATGTGCAGTTGCCACTCTGCAGGTGTTACGTAGATCTAGATTTCTTTTTCTGTCAGAGAGCCTAAACAGTCTGCCTATAAATAATCTACTTAAATCTAATCCTCGTAAGAAATATGTAATTTTCATACTTGTAGGAAGCTTTCAGTGAAACTAGTGTTACAGTGTAACTAGTGTTCATCGCTTTTTAGTGAAGAGCATACTGAGTTACTAACTTAATAATTACAGTTTATCATCTTAAATACTTTGTCTTATTCTTGATTTTTAACTGTGGACATTCATATAATACAAAAGTTGCCATTTTTTGTTTGTTAATTAATCAAGATAATGGCAGTTAGCACACATTATCATCGTAATTTCCATTTCTGTTTCCTTAACTGTGGATTAAAACGGAATATATTGCAGCCTAACTTTACGACAAGGTTAGTGCAGGTGTGGTGCCCTCGATACGAGCACATGGGCTTAGTGCTCTTCAGGTTTATCTCTCTTCTGATGACCACACAGACTGTGACCTTTTCACTGGCACCTCATTCTCTTGTGCATGAAGACGAATTGGGCGTGCAGGTGAGGGAGTCCCTTGTGCTGCAGTAGGTTGAGCTGCTCTGTGCTTCTTTCTCAGTGTATTACTGAATTATTCATCTGTTCTGGATGGAGCGAAGGATTGTGTCCCTGTGAAGGATTTTACATCTTCATTGCTAAATGCTTAAGCTGTCAGCTCAGAGAATATTAGTCTGGGGTTTCAGTCCCGATTTTCTTTCGTGTGTGCTTCCTACTGTGAGCTGGAAGTACCATTTGACTGAGGTGAGAAAGTGTGTGTGTGCGTGTGCGTGTGTGTGTGTGTGTAAGTCAATAGGGTGGGATTGACACTCAGATAACATCTAGGTTAATTATCCAATTATGACAGCTCTCTGGAGAATATTCTGGCTAAAACATTCAGTAAAAAAAATTCATCGGTATTTTGTTCCTTTGGTTGGATAGACATAATAATCAGTATCCTGATTCTGTGATCTGAACTTGAAATGCATTTCAAACAATGAGTTGTCCTTTTTATAAAATACAAAATGTCTTTCTTTTTTTAGTGGCAGTCAGACAGCTTACTTGTTCTTTGTCTCTGAGTTGAGACCAACTACCTTGGTCCTGCTGTTAATTCCAGTATTTAAACTTTTAATGGCCAGAGCAATATTCCCAAGAAACTGACTTCAGGTTTATCAGATTTTCATGAAGAGCCTGTGACTTGTTTGGTCAGTTTGCCAATAAGAAAATCTGTTCAACCTATCGTGTATAATGGAGATGCCACTAGCTGTGACAAAAATGTTTTAAAAATATATTAAGAAAGGATGGAGCAGTTAACCATTGTTTCATCAATAATTGTCCATGCTGGAGATTCTTTTATAATAAAGAATAATCGTGTTTTATTAATACAGTTTTGACTTGTCTGGACAGATAAGGTTTTCAGTCAGTTACATTGCTTCATTCAAGAATTATGGTGCCTGTACTATGGACAACATCTAGCAAAACAACAAATTTTTCAAATATGGTTTAGCTAGAAAGATGTCAGGTGTAGCATAGTAGTATTCTGATCTTTGCAAGTCCTTCACACACTTTGTCCAAGCTTGCAGTTTATAATTTGATATGCATTGTGCCATGTGTTGGAATATTGCTCTCTGTTTTAAGTTCAGTTTTTAATGCTAATGTCAGTTTTACAAGAAGGTGATGAGTTGTGCAGTTCATGCCAGCACATATGTTGTACATTTATGCATGGATTTTACACCGTCCGGAGCATATTGTGTTACTTGCCATTTTTTAGCTAAATAAGAGAAATCATCACAAAACTTTTTTTTTTTTTAAATGAATCATGAAAAGGACTATACATCTTTTAAAAGTTATTTTTGGTCTGTCTATAGGATGGCTGTTCTTTGCTTATGCTTTTTACCAGTATGCTCTCATAAATGTCTAAACTGTTTTTAGGTATATAAAATACAACAAATGGTTGAAAATTTGAGGGGGATTAGAGATAAATATTACATTTGTGTCTTAAAAAGAACTGCACATTCATTTTATTTTCAGACTTGGATAAAGCCAATTCACACAAGGTGTGCTGCCTTTTCGGGTCTTTGCAATTGATGAAGTGATTACTTTGGGTTTGCTCTAATCCGAAGAAATGCTACATGACCAGAAATAATGTTACATATGTTTTCAAGCATTTACTCCATTCTTTTTGTCTCCTCTCAAATGAAAATCAACCCCTGCTGCGAGTGAAGATGCGTTAGGAATCACGACGTATCGCTGAGATTAACTCCCGCTGCAGGGTGAGCGCAGAGGGACAGTTAGTTGCCCATTTGCTCCCATATCATATAAATGGGAGCAAGGACGTTGCCCAAGGTTGTAGTGACAGAAAGGGGAAGGTGCATATTGGTCCTTCAAGTGCCTCTGCACTCTCTGTCTTGCAGCAGAGGGTCTTGCATGTTAAAACTAGGCCAGTTACCCTGACCGGCGTGGACAGATCATTTGGAGAACATGGGCAGACAGTATTTAAAATTTATTCCCAGATCTTATAAAAGTTACGTGACATGACGGTGAGCAGAACAACCTCCCTGTTGATGATGATTGTGAGAGCTGCACTAACTGCAGTTCCACTGTGGTTATCACCGCCGCGGTGGTGGCATTAGTCGTGCCTACGTGAGAATTCTGTACTATTACTATACATGTAAAACTGTGGTTGCTGAGCAAAGCTGTGGGCACTTCCTTTGCAGGAGCCAGAATCTAAAGTCTGAACTTAGATATATGTTTGCTAATCCTGGCGTTGGCTACACATGATTACTTGCTTGGAGGTGAAGGTCACAGGCAACGTGATAGGCAGACTGCAGAGAGGAAGAGGTGTGTTTATGTTGCTCTAACAACATCTGCGGTATATGGTGTAAGAAAGGCCTGAACGTTGTTCAAAAATAAACAAATCTTGCTTGCTTATATATGTGTGCAACACTTCTCTGCTACTAACCACTAGAGGTCTAATGGATGGATTTGACAACTGAAAAACTTGGCAGAGGAAAAGGATTTAAAGAAAAAAATCTGATGGTTTACTGTTTTGGAGAAAAGGAGAAATCTCTGCCTTCAGTGTAGGTTCCAGAACTCGTACATCCTTGGACACGTGCCTTTGATATCTTTCTCTCTTTCTCTCTTTCTCTCCTTCCTTCCTTCCTGCCTTCCTGCCTTCCTGCCTTCCTGCCTTCCTTCCTGCCTGCCTGCCTGCCTTCTTTCCTTCTTTCATTCCTTCCTGCCTTCCTTCCTATCTATCTATCTATCTATCTATCTATCTATCTATCTCTCTTACTGCAAGATCTGAATTCTCATTTTTATAGCTGGGTGGGAGGGAAAAAAAGACAGAAATATATTTAAATATTCCTTTGCAGGTTACCTTTAAGTATCTACCAGGTAGAATTGCTGTCAGATAGAACTGCTGTTTGAGAAGATGCTCATAGTTTGTGTTTGATGTGCATTTACAGTGTCCATATATGGGATTTGGTTTTATGATAAGGAAGAATGCCAAAGAATTGCAGAGCTCATGAAAAAGTAAGTGATGGGTAAACAAGACTTTCTGTGCTTTTTTATGTATGTATTTCTGTACATACATGCACATTATATTACAAGGATGGTCACACCTCTCTACTTTAAACTTTTTTCTATAGAATCTGTTGAAAGTAAAATTGTCACACAGCTGCATTTTATATATTCAAAAGTAAGTTGTTATGTTGCAGTATTTTTTCATCTGATTTATTACCTGATGCCTCAGAGATCTGTTTTGAAGAACTGTATTCTTTCGGGGCTTAATATAATTTTCACTTTGGGGAGTTTTTTTAATGCTGGTGTTACCTTCTTTTTCTCCTATAAATGTAAGTGAGGGCAATCATGAAGACATACTGTAATAATACAATTTCTGTTTCTGCATCATGACTGAATTCCTGCTTCCTCCTTTCTTAGCAATATGTACAAAATTCACTTAATTAGCTCTGACTTCAGGACTCTTTTTTATTTAATAAAGTTATTTTATGTTAGTGCTTTAATCTTAAATTTTGTAATCAAACCAGAGAAGAAAATTTCACACAGAAGTGTGTGTTCAGATGCATTTTAATCTTACAATATCATGAATAGTCTCTTAACTGTCACTGCTTTCTCCACACATTCAGAATTGTTAAAGGCCCATTCTCCTGCTCTGCCCTCTGGTTGGTGTAATGGTTGGCTTAGTTGCAATGATCCCATTTTGATTATTATATTCTCCAGGTTTTCATGCTTATTTGAAGGAGCAAGGAGCTAAGTCATTTAGACTGTATCAGCATGTGCAGTCTCATTTTTTAGAGGTGTAATGTGGAGGCTGTTTTAAAGGGACCTGGTAGGAATTGGCAAAGGCTGGATTTACCAGTTGCCTCTGCAACGCAGGATTCGGACACATTACATCACAGCTATTCTGATTTTCCTTCTGAAGGAAAGGAAGAAAAATTATGTACATCCAGGTCTTTGTCATCCCAAGAAAAACTCTAGGAGACTGATACAGTCAAGCTGACAGCATGAGATACTAGCAAAGCTGTGTAAAGGCACTGTCCAAACTGTGAATCTCTCCTTTTCAGGTCACCTGTCCTAACAGCCTGGTTAACAAACGTGTTTCTGTAGTCAGAAGCATGCTGAGGAAGTGACATCCGTCCTCATGGCCAAAGTGTCATGTGCCTCTTCGTGTCCCACAGCCCAAGCAAGGCTCATGCTCACACACTGGGATCCGTAGCAAAACGCTTCAACCAATCTCCCACTATGTGCCAGATAATATTCATAACGAAGTACGAGTTGGGAATTTAGTCATAGTTCCTTTATGTCTCCCTTTGAAAAAATACCTGCTGCTCTGCATTTTGCAGTGACAAAACATTATGAAACACAGACTGTGACATTGGTGGTTTTTTGGTTTTGCTTTTTTCATTTGTGCTGTGTGTCCTATAGCTCCAAAATGAGTCAGTTGTGACCCAAGAAATAATTGATGGGGAAGAATTTACAGAAATAAGCAATGAACCCTAGGAAGTCCAGGTTTTTGACAGCTAATTTTAGTTAACTAGCTCAAGTTGCAGTTGGTGGTGATTAGGTTCTCTCAAACTGGTAATTTACTACAATAAAGACTAGTTTTCAGAGGATTCATGCTATTGTAAACCATGTGTAGTGGTTTATAATAGCAGTGTTGCATATAGATAAAAAATACCCTGTAGCTCAGCCAGTTGGCTGTGTGTTATAATTCTCAGCATTCTGCAATAATAATAAAGCAGCTGGGGCAGGAAATTGGTCATTTGCTAGTAGTTAATGACTGATTTGTGTGCGTTTGCCATCCTCTACCACCAGTAGAACTGAATAATGCTATAAATTCTTTTTCTGAGCATAGAAATTCTGAGTGATTTACAGCAATTTAAGAACATGTATCTCATGCTTTATCAAACTCTTTTAGTATAGATCTTTTAACATAGGTGTTTTAACTGAATTTGATGGGGGAAAATGAAAATACTCAAGTTTTCTTTAATTACGATAAAATAGTAGTAGTAGTTAAAACTTTATCTTTTTGTTGTTTTTGTCTTGTATATTCTCCTCTCACCTCCCACTTTCAGCCTAACTCAACAGGAACAATTCAAAGCACAGCAGGGCACAGGAACAGGAGCATCCCCAATGATCATGAATTCTGCTAATAACAAAGAAGTGGATATCTTACGGATGCTTACCAAAGCCAAAGATGAGTATACCAAGGTGAGACTTGCTCTCTGTAAAATGAGGCATTTTCTTTCAGTGGTAAAATGAGGCCAACCTGCTTGACACTTTTAATTTTAACACATAATAGTTTTGGGGGTTTTTTTTGAAGAGGTTTCCTCAAAGTAGAACTGACGGTCTGATTTCAGACAGTATACTCTGTCAGTTGTTTGTCAGAATTTGCTAGAGATTCAAGAGAAAACAATGCTGTGAATAAAAAATTCTGAAAGGAAAATATGTATATGATTATTTATTTGTTACTCCCTAGGAGATAAAAAGAAATGGAAACTTGAGGCATGAATGTTTCTGGCTTTGGTTTTGACCCATAGACCCATTCAATCAGCTCCCTGCTGATTGAATAGTACTTTAAAGTTCCTTAAAGTTGTGTCCTATTTCTGGATGAAGTATTCAAACCCTCTGATAATTTATGTGGCTTTCACAGATCACTTCCTCTATGAAATACCTTTACTTTGGAGATACTGCTTTTAATTGTGGCCATTAGCAAGTTTTGGACACTGATGGAACCTAGGATGATCTCAGCCATGGGCTGGTTTGGTCTTCTGAGGCTTCTAAACAAGGATGTAACTAATGGACTAATAATGTTCTGTATTATTGAGCAATCAAAAAAGCTTACTTTAGGGAATAAAAATATAATAATTTAAATTATTCATATATAGGTTGCAGATTGTTTCAGAGCCTACAATTGCTCCTGCTGCTTCCTGTCTTTCATATGTATTATTATGTAATAATGAGTTCATAAGTGTTTTGAGTCTAGAAATATCTGCATCTTAAACATAAACAATTCGAAGAGAGAAAAAAAATGTTTTTTCTAAAATGTGGCTACTAATAAGAACCTCATAAAGATTATAATAGACTGCTTTGGTGAAATGTATTTGTTTTTCTTGGATCATAGTTTGTTTCAAAATACAGACCTTTATATTTTCTTAAAGAGGTGAAATTCATGTTTTATAGTAGACAAAAACAGCTTTAGAAACTTGTGTCTGTTCTATGTTTTAATATCGAATAAGTATTTAGTGTTTGCATAAAAGAGTGTGATTTGATATATTCTGAAATGTTCAAGGATTTTTCATTAACCACTTAAATACTCTAAAGAAGAATGGCTAGGATCTGTACTATGTGCTATGAGAAAGATGGTAGGTCTAAAGATAATTATCTTGCACATATAGATGAACACACCAAAAATCAAGACAGAGGAAAGGCAACACTGAAAGATGAGTTTAAGCAACAGATTTAAAAACAAAGAAAAAAAACCCGAATCTGCAGATCTCTTGTAAATTTGCATCTTGTTCATACCATCTAATCTTTCTGCTTAAAAGTGGTTGCTAAGGAAATAACATGAGAATTTCCTCTTCATCTGGGACATGAGTAATGGGAGTTTTTTACCTCTTAAGGACTGGGCCTGTGTTTCTTTTCATTTTGCTAGTAATGTAAAATTAGGAAGAGTGCATGAAATAAAGACAATAAGAACCCACTTTTGCATTTAATGTCATTATATTTCAGTCATGCTATTTGGCTGCTTTATGACATATGCTTCCTTGCCAGGGTATGTCTCATGACTTACGATGCAGATGTGCTGAAATTGGTCATGAAATCTGTTGTTCTCCTTTGTGAATTCAGAAAAGAATTCAGAATTGTGGTTTCAGAAAAGAGGAGGTTTTGAAGTTTTTTGAGCCACAGAATAAGAGCCTCAGTTTTCAGAGCATCTAAAGAGTTTGCTGAATTTTGAGTCCCACAGTAATTTTGAGGACTGTGAGTAACTTTGAAGAATGTAGCCCATTCTCAAAAGTGACTTGCACATTCAGAGGCTGTGGGAAAAAATGAAATGCTTAGCCTTCCCTCCCCTTTTTCTTTATCAGTGGAGCTTTAATCTGCTAAATCACCAAAACATGTTTGGGAAAAAAAAAAAGAGGGTTTTAATATATCCTTGTGTGGTATTAGCAAACCTCATAATAGTAGCTAGAGAGATAAACAGTTCAAGAGCTGTGCAGAACAAAGCATGATGAAATGCACTGCCCTAACTGCTGTGCATTTATTGCACCATCTGTCTCTTAATCTGACAGATCAGAGCACATGATAAGGTGGACATCCTTTGGCTTGTTGATGTGCCCAAAATAACTGAAGCTTACTTGTCCATTACTAGGGACACACAACATTTGATATGAGCATCACTTCTAGCAGTAAGCAGGCCTGGCCTCTGAATTTTGTTTAAGTTTTTTGTCGAGTTCTTTACTGTCCATCAGCAAAGTGAGGTTGTGGAGTCTCCTTCTCTGGAGATCTTGGACGCAGTCCTGTGCCACGTGCTCTGGGTGGCCCTGCGTGTGCAGGGGGGTTGGACTGGGTGACCTATGGAGGTCCCTTCCAGCCTTAACCATTCTATGATTCGATGAAAGTGTTCCAGTGATACTGACCTGCTCAAACAGGAATGTAATTTGTAAGTTTTTAGGCACACACTTCTGTGTTAATTTGTTATCTGTAAGAAAGCCTTGATACTATCTTACCACCTCTCCAGAAGTTCTGTCTTTCCAGAGGGCACTGTGTTATAATTGGCCTAGATGATGCAGAGCCAATGTTCCTATTCCTAAACAGTCTGTATTTGTTCTTATTGTCTCATGTAAGCAGAGCTTTCCGTGGGAATCCTCGCAGCTATTACTCTGTTTGTTCGTTTAATTTTTTTGTTTTGGTTTGGTTTTTTGTGTGTGTGTGACAATTCTTGTCCTCCTTTGTATTCCTCTTCTTCAGAGCACTCTGTACACCTTTATGTGACTGTACACTGATGTCTTCTTATGGCTGCTTCACATCAGTTAGATAAAAGTCCTTGGTTTCCAGGGCCAACTAGCTCTGCATTCCTTCTCTGACAACTTTAGAGTTCTTTATCCCTTTCAGCATAGCCATCCATCTACAGAATTCTTCTGGACTAAGTCCCATACAGTCCTGGTTGACCTTTCCTTGTATCAGTCCTTTTCACATCTCCTCCTTGTACCTGATAGGTCTTTGCAGCTCATATTTTCTGTGAGAGTCAAGCATCTGACTCTCACAGAGAGAGTGATAGAGGAGATGGAGAAGTGACACGGTATCTGTTTCAGGAGAACTCCAATACTGAGCTACAACGCCTGCCCGTTGTCTGTGTTTCCTTTGCAACATCCTCTTCAGTCTATGCATGGTTCAGGTAGATGGTGAAATCTCATAACATAGAGCAAATATTTTTGTTGACTGGAACTTGCTCTGCACTGTTACATGGGTAAAGAGACTTTGGGGAAAATAAAATACTTCATTCTGGGTCACTTATTTGTAGTTTTTTGTTCAGAGAGTGGAAATATTGTAGTTAGGTTAAATAGATCATAGAATCATAGAATTGTTAAGGTTGGAAGGGACCTCTAGAGGTCGTCTAGTCCAACCCACCTGCGCACGCAGGGTCACCTAGAGCACGTGGCACAGGACTGCGTCCAAGCGAGTTTTGAAGATCTCCAGAGAAGGAGACTCCACAACCTCTCTGGGCAGCCTGTTCCAGTGCTCTGTCACCCTCACTGTTAAGATTTTTTTCCTTAAGTTCCTGTGGAACTTTTGGTGCTTCAATTCAATTTGGTGCTTCATAGATTTCCATACTCAATGTGACCTACTCAGATTAGGCATGGTGCACTCACTGTGAGATTTTATATTTTAGTTAGATTTAATTTTCTTGTGAAGCTCTCCATTGCTGGCAAAGTCAATGTCTTGTTTGTCATGTTTTTTTCAAATCTAGTGCTTGAGGCAATTTCTTACTTTATACAGTAGTGATACAACAGGAAAGAAGATGCAAGTTCTTTTTTCTTTAAACCAAATGGATAAACTGTAGGATGATTGTCTCTGAATGTTTTACAGTTATTTCTGAGAGCAGAATTTGAACCAGAAATTGCTGTGTATTAGAAGAGAGCCAAGTGCAATAGAAGAAAGCAAAGTGCCAATGGAATTATACTTCTGCTTTGTGAGAGTATGTCTTCAGAAATTCATGGCAGAAGGCTGTCACGTCCTAACACTCACAAGATAATTTTGGAGCAGAAACTCAACAGAATCTCAGAATCACTGAGGCTGGAAGGGACCCCTGGAGATCATCTAGTTCAACTCCCCTGTTCAAAGTTGGATCAGCTAGAGTGGGTTGCTCAGGACCATGTCCAGTCAGGTTTTGAATATCTCCACAGATGGAGATTTCACAGCCTCTCCGGACGTCCCATTCCAGCATTTGATCACCTCAGTTTAAAAAAAAAAAAAATACCTTTTATTTATGTTTGAATGTAGTTTCCTATCTTTCTATATCCCTTCCTATATGTGTATATATTTTTTTTCCTATCTATATTCTGCCCATTGCCTCTTTCCTTTCACTATGCATCACTGAGAGTCAGGCTCCATCTTCTTCTTACCTTCCCATCAGGTTTTTATATACACTGATAAGCTCTCCATCAAGCCTCCTCTTCCCAAGGCTAAACAATCCCAACTCTATCAGTCTCTCCTCATTGGAGTGATGCTCCAACCCCTAATCATCCTTGTAGTCCTTTGCTAGTCCGGCTAGACCAGCTCCAGTATGCCCATTTCTGTTGTACTGGGCAGCCCAGAACTAGGCACAGTACTCCAGATACGGTGTCACCAGGGCTGCACAGAAGGGAAGGATCTCCTCCCTCGACCTGCTGTCAACACTCTGCCTCACACAGCCAAGGATGCTGCTGGTCTTTGCTGCAAGGGCATATTGCTGGCTCATGGCCAACTTGTCTGCCAGAACCCCCAGGTCTTTCTGCGAAGCTGCTTTACAGCTGGTAGATGCCCAGCCTGTACTGGTGCATTCAGTTATTGCTCTGCAGTTTACCTTTGTTGAATATCATGAGATTCCCGGGTTTTTTTCATCCGGTCAGGGTTCCTTTGAATGGTAACACAACCGCCTGGTCTGTATGTCTCTTCACTGACTTTGTATTGCCTTGCAAGCCTGCTGCTCATACCCTCTGTCTCATCATCCACATCATTAATGAAGATATTAAACAGGGGGGATATCCGGGGGATACCACTAGTGACTGGCCTCCAGCTGGACTCACAGTTCTTGGAGCCTTGCAGATCAGCCATTTTTCAATCCACAACATTGTCCATTTAATAGACTCTGTTTCAAATCAGCTGGTTTATGAGGATGCTAAGGGAGACAATTGCAACCCTTGTAAAAGAAAAGCAATATCCACTGCTCTTCCTTCATCCACTAACACAGTCATCTCATGACCTGATGGAAGGCTATCTCGTTGGTCTTCTATAAATCCATGCTGACTACTCCCAATCACCTTCTTGTCCTTACTATGTTTGGAAGTGACTTCCAGGACTATTTGCTCCATCTCCTTCACAGGGGAAGAGGTGAGGCTGGCCAGCCCGTAGTTCCCTGGATCCTCCTCCTTGTCTCTCCTGAAGACAGTGTGACACATACTGTCTTCCTGTCCTCACGAGCAGCCCTCCAGTTGCTGTGACCTTGCGTAGGTAATTGAGAATTGTCACGCAGCCATGGCCAGCTCCTTCAGCACTCATGGATGCATCCCATGGACTTGTGTACGTCCAGCGCGTCCGCTTAACAGATCCTCCTTATTGTGACAGACTTCCCCACATGTCTCAGAGGTTTGGGGTTCTGGAAGGCAGGTCTTAGCAGTAAAGGCTGAAGGGAAGAAGGCACGGTGTACCATGACCTTTGTCACCAGGCCTCCTCAAACCCCCTCAAGAACTGAAGCTCTGTTTCACTGTCCATCTGGTGTTTGTTTTCTTTCACATTTTACTATTATGGTAGGTGTTAGAAATGGATACTACAAACACTTCTGTATATTGGGGGGAGGGGGAGGTCAAATTATTTTCTCACCTGACAACTTTGAACCCTGAAGAGTTTATCACAAAGCTCTAGAAAATATACTAGCATTTTCATAATCACGTCAGTGGCACTACTTCCTGAGAAAAGCAATCTGTCTAGTGCAGTAGTCATTAATGCATAATACTGGATTCTTTGTAGGAAGGAACAAGAAATCAAAGTTGATCATTCCGTACCAACCATCTGCAAAGTGTTTTTTTTTTCTCAGGACTCATTAGTCCTGAGGCATAAAACTTAGACTCATCAAACAGTTAATTAACTAAGCATATTCTTGTTAGATAAGCTTAAATTTTATTAAATAATTCTTTAAAAACCTCTCCAATTTCTGGTATCAATAATATCTTGTGGAAGCGAATTCAACTGTTTCACTGTTTCCTTTTCCATTGAAAACAGCCTTTGTTACTTTTTTAGTTTCATCAACTATCCTCTTATTTTTATGTATAATATGAATGAGATAATCTAATTCACTTTTTCTTATTCCATTTATTGTTTCTCTATGTCCTTCACACAGCATACTCCGTGTCTCTTTTCTAAATTAAATGATGCTCTTCCATCTTCATATTGCAGTCATTTTTTGTCCCTGAACAATTTTAGTCTCTGTTTGCCTTGTCTCCTCATAGTTGATTAGTACTGCCATGCTTGATAAGGAAATACACTGATTCTACAAATGCAGATTGATCTAAACATTTTAATTGTTTTTTTTTTTCCATATGGTGTATGTATCCTCCAAGTTCTCATACTGTGGTGTATCTGTGTAAAGAAGTTTAGGAATTATAATGCCATTTTTTAACAAAGTCTTTTAATATGCTATTTATCTCCTCATAAATCCTCCATGTGCCTAAACTACTTTTATGCCTACAAGTTATAGGACTAGTTGCCTACTGCTGCAGAAAAGCATGTCTGTTCCTTAGCGTCTCAGGTGCAGGACTGACTTTGGGCTAAGGGTGGGAAAAACAAAAAATAAGGAGACACCTGAGACTTAAACCAGGAGGGGAAATCTCTTAAACAAGAAATCTTGGAGTCAAGTCTTTATTTGTGCATGTGCTTTGTATTTTTAGAAAATTACTTGCTAGTTTTTCAGTAGTGTAACTTCTTATAAATGGTGCTAAAACTTTTTGTTATTTTGGTTTCATTGTTATTTGGTGATAATTTTGGTTACGAAATACCTAACTCCAGGATTTTAATATGCTAGAGAATTAAGGAAAAAAGATATTGTCTCACTCAAAAAAATACGTTTTTTCTCTGTTGCAGTGTAAGACCTGCTCAGAGCCAAAACAAATGACCAGTTCCTCTGCTATCTATAACAACCCTAACCTAATCAAACCAATTCCAGTGAAGCCTAGTGAAAATCAGCACCAGCGAATATCTCAGCAAGGCAAGGTAAAGTGTTTTGCTTGTGTTCCGCTTTGTGCTACTGTAACCCAGTAGCCATTTAGGAATGCTTATTTAGGCCAGGAGGTCAGTGCAAGTATTTGAGGTGGAACTTTGGTAAGGAATTATTTTAATGCAAAATTGCACTAAAGACACTGCTCCCCATGCCACATGACATGGAAGCATTAAAATTAGAGACATACATACTCTGCTGATGCAACAAAGAAATACTGATCTTTCAATTTTGGGGTGCTGTTTTGGTTCCAAGCTAGTCTAGTCAATTGTCAGACCACAGTTTGTTTTGTTTTCTTTTAGTGAATTTAGTTATTCTAAATACAGAAAAATGTTTTGATATATCTTCAAGCTACATGACCTTGCAAAATCCTAACAACTGAATCCAGTCAGCTGTTGCAGTGAGCTGTTCAACACGCGGCACACCTTCACACCAGGGCAGAGGATTTCTGTCTCTTACCAATATTGTAGTAGTGGCTGAAAGGGAAGATGCTTTTCGTGGTGTTTGAAGTGAAACTGCTGCTGCTGTTTCTCAGATTCACTGTTTTTCACCACAATAGAAGCTTGACAACTATTTCCTTGCCCTTCCTGTGTCACAGTTATTAAGATTTTTCTTAGGAGAAAAGATCAAAGCATAGCTTTTTCAGCTGTTGCTTGAATATTGCTGGCTAAGTTTTGTAGACGCTTAATGTGACTTAGCATGCAACAGAGAACTATGTTTGTTTGTTTTCTTTTTCTTTCTCCCTCCACAGAATATGGATTCTGAACCACAACACTTGTCTCTGACAGCACTGTTTGGAAAACAAGAAAAGCCAGATGTCTCAGAGCCACATAGTAAACAGCATCAAGAGAATCTTTCTGTTAGGCAGGGGGTGGTACGTTCCTTGTCTTATGAAGAACCTAGCAGACATTCACCCTCTGCAGAGAAACAGCTTTGCCCAGCAATTCAGAAGCTTATGGTGCGTGGAACAGACCTGCATCCACTTGCTGAATTTCCTGAGAGCCGACTGTGTGAAAATGGCAATATGCACCCTGTGAGTGAGACTTTCACAGGACTCTTCCAACCTGTGACTTCTCATGGCATTGCAACATCTCATGTAGTCCAGGATACTGCTGGCACTCGGAGTTTATTACAGAAATTACAGGGCCAGTCGGGATCAGTCCCTAAAATGGACGCCAGTGCAACAGGTCCTGGCTGCTGGAGCACCAGCAGCACAGATAAACAGTCTGACCCAGCCACCTTTGGTGTACTTCAATGGTTCCCTTCCAGGCCAGACTGTGGAGTCCCAGCCAGTTGGTAAAGAACAGTCCAAACTTCCTAGACAGCCACTTTCTCTCTCTGGCAATCAAACAACCGGTTCTGGGGTGATTTCACCTCAAGAGCTACTGAAAAAACTCCAAATAGTGCAACAAGAACAACAATTGCACGTATCCAGCAGACCCACCTTGGCAGCTAAGTTTCCTGTTGTTACACAGAACGCCAGTACACTGAAACCACTGGATTCCTGGATAGACAAGGCACCAGGTGCAGAAAAACAGAGCTCTCTCTTTCAGGTAAATAAGTAACTGTAGAATTAAAAAAAAAGGGTGGGGGCGGGAAAAAGTTTGAGTTTGTCTGTCTTTTCATCTTGGAGTTTTATAAGAATAGTCCCCGATCTTTTTGACCAGTATCTTCCTGTGTTATCTTACATGCTCCATTCATTCACAATTTTATAGTGACATCAAGTAATTTCTCTTTTGCCAAGCTGTGGTATTGTAAATAGTGAAGGGTGAATCTCTTGCACATCAATAATGAGCCTTGTGTGCAATTACAAAATGCCTAAATGCCTCCCCCAGGCCCACTGTCTTTCCATAGGAGGTGCTACACTTGATTGTCTTCCAATGTCCTGTTTAGGGATGAGCATCTAAGCCCCTTTTAACTTCTTTGTTGTGGCCAGGCTATCCCCAAGGCCTGCATTGTACTGGTGACTCCAAGTTACTTGCCCGAGTAAATAAGCATTCACCTTTTAGTGTAAAGTTCAAAAGCTACTTTAATTCATTTCAGTTTATGCACGAGCTGAATAAAAAACTACAAACTGCTTCAGCTTGTTGCAGAAATCCTCCTTATTGTAGAATGTTGATCTAAGAAATTGAAATGGCCACTTAACAACTAACAGCCACATCTTTCACTAGCACTGATAGGTTAAGATTTCTAATTCTGTAAGAGTGATCAGAAGATGATGATTACATTATAGCAAATAGCCATCTTAATTTTTATTCATGAATCAAAGCAGCACAGCTTTGAACCTTTGTGAAAAGGTTTTTGGTGGATTAGTCCATCAAATTTTTCAGGAGCAGTTGCTTACAGATGGGTATCTGGCTTCTCAGTGGAGTACTAATGAATAAAAAGAGGATCCAGAGTCACAATAATTTACTTTTGTTACTTCTGGAGATTGTTATAAATGAAAGAAGTTGTCTGGTTCACCAGGAAATGTACTGATAGCATGGAGACATGAGCCATGCCTACTTAGAAGGTAAAAGGGAAATGAGGCAAGTGCTAACCTCTATGTTATAAGCCAGAGCACAGTAATAAAATGTGGCTAAAAATATTGAGGTATTTCCAAATGAAAGAATTGGTATAGATGCTGATAACACTTTTTTGTGTATATTTGTAAAAGAAAGTGATGCTGACATTAGCTGCAAAGTAGAAAGAGAATGGAATATGGAAAGGGTGTCACAATTCCAGTTATTTTATTGCAAAGGTACAAATAGAACAATGGCTTGAGAAGAGAAAAATGCTCACTGCAGGAAGTCTCATTCACTAGGGTATTGCTGCAAGTTTGCCTCAAAAATATAAAAAGAAGGAAAGGGAAAAAAAGGGTCAGGTAAGGAGACTCTTGATCTTACTTTACATAGCTGAGACCAGACCAAGAAGACTCATCATGGTAGAGATGAGTAGCTTTGCTGACTGATAAAATCGCAGCTGTTACCAAAACAGTATTAGATGCAGTTCCTTTAACATATTGAGAATTGTTTATAAGGCATTATAGAAAAATGATCGAAGTGTGACTAATTATAGCTCAGGACACCTAAAGCTTTGCAGTGAGGAAGGCCACGTTTGCACACAGAAGACTGTCAAAAAAAAAAAGCCTAAAAATGAAGGAATTAGCTTTCTTTTATAGAATGCCATGAATTAGCCAAATTAAATATTTCTATTTAAAATCACATCCTTGCTATAGACCACAGGTTTAAGTGTTGTCCTGCCTGCAGACAGACATCTTGAGTGAAATTGAATTGGCACAAGTGTGTCTGCACATGCTTATGCAAAATTGATTGAAGCAGAGCCTGACAACAAATGCTGCAAAAGCTTTGTTCTCTCTAATTATTTATCCGGTATTGCATCTTTTACTATAAATTAGTGTGCAGGAAAGGCAAATTCTAAAAAGTCTCACAGACATAGAAATGTACCTGGACAGTGTCACATGATGTTGGAAAAAATCATTTTAAAGGAACACCCCAGATCCATCAGTAATACTAAGAAAATAGAAGCAATAGTCTTTTCCACAACTGACACATTACAAGCCCAAATTTAAATTGGCTTCTGCTGCATCTCCATATGGTATAAGAGCTGTGATCTCCCACGTGGAAAGGAAGAAACCAGTCACCAAAATAAAATTTTAGCAAAAGCTAAAGAATAATACTCGGAAGCATTCAGTCTGATGCCAGCCCTATTCTGAGAAGTGATCCTTATGTGGACAATGAGCAACATGTGCTAAAGCTGCAATAAAAACGTATTAATCTGCATTAGACTTCAAAACATAGGCTTAGAATTAGACATGAGTTGTCCTGATTATAGACAACACGTGTGCTTAAGTGTTTCTGTTAATCAGCGTTACAGTTTTAAAAGTACTTGCAATAACCTTGACACAAATTTATCTCTTCTGTTTTAGAAGGCCACTTATTTTGCAGACTGTCTGTTTTCTAAGAGCAATATATTTTACACATCATATGCTGTTTCTCCTGAATCCGTGTGCGGTACACAGTATATTTGGTGGAAGAGTCACACCATTACCTATAGATTATCTTGACTGCAGTTTCAGCATGAGATTGTAAAGATGCACAGCAGTAAGGCAACTAGTAAGTTAAACCTGTCATGGAAAATTATATAAGATTCTGCTGTTAAACATTAGTTAAATTTTTCTAAATTAAACTTAGAAAGATGAAGCAATGTTAGCACCAGCGTTGTAGCCAACAACTGTCTTTTATAGTTCCCAAACCATTCATAGCTTAAATGTTCTTAGTTTTAAAAAATGCTCACTAAAAACAGCTGGAGGCCCACAGCATCCACTCTGCCTGCCGATATTCTAGAGAAGCTGGTGGTGCATATGGAATCACACATGTTTAGGGAGCAACGGTGATCGCCACCTGGCATTACAGGAGAGCCAGGGCATTTCTTGGTTCATAGCATGATGTGGATTTCGCAGCTATCACGTCATCTCATTGCCACCAGTAATGCAGAATGGCAAAAAGGAGATATCTTAGCGAGATCTTCCTACAGAGAAGGAATATGACATGCTACACGTTTGTCATTGTTCGTATTTCATTGCTGTACAACTGATGCAAGTGTGCTACTCTCTTATTAGTGATTCAGAGGTTGAAATGTTATCTTGAGAACGCTGAAGATGATTCAGGGGAGACTGGAGAATCGAGAAACTCAAGAGAGATTCCATGAGAAAGTTGTTGTTGAGGAGCATTTTGGAAGGGGTATTGTGTCCTTGTGAGAAATTACTCAAAGCTGAAAGAATAGCCCAAGGGCTACATGCCACTCCTGAGCATTTTCAGCAAAACGGTCCCAGAGGAATTGCAGTAGTAGCGCCAAGATCAGCTCCCAGATTTTCTGATGGGATTCTCGTTACACTGGTTTAAGTTTAGCTAAACTAAATCTTAACTGAAAATTCCCTCTTACATTTTGAAAAGAAACATTTCTGTTTATGTATTTTTTTTCAAAATGGCAGAAGCTGTGAGCAGAAGTGTTAACAAAAAATACATTTGGAAGCTTTCACACAGAAGCAAATACTGTGTGCTGAAAAATGATACATATAAAGACTGCTTTGAGACAACTGGGTGTGCAGTGGTACCTTGCAGATATTAGGAGTGTCAGCAGTAGATGGCAGTACTGCTTACTACGTTTAGCTTCCATACGCTTGGCAAATCCCAGCAAACAGCTGCTCCATCCATGAAAAACAGATAATTTTTGAGATATCTGCTAAACTGCAACACGTGTATCTGCTTGACAGTTGTAATTATGTATTATTAAGAGCATAGTTTATCTCAGGTTTTGTTTCTGCCAGACTAGAGGAAGATGTCTTTTGATTTCTAAGGATGTGTCATTTAGGTCCTTGGCGTGCGCTTTCTCCGAGTCAGCTGGGCGGCTGGGACAGTTTCTCAGCGCTGTTCAAGGGTGGGAACTTTCATGGAGCTTCCTACCCTTGCCGAGCAGTCTGTATTAGCATTAATTAAATCACTTTAGGAAAAATCAGCAGTTTTAAGCTAACTTGCCTTTAATTCACCACAAGCAAAATTGGCCAAGTCACTTGATCTGCATGGTTGAGTAGAACAGAAGTGCTGTGATGAGTGCCTGGAGGTAGTAGATCTTCCTCAGGCAGATTTGGAAGAATACATCCGTGCAGCGTTTCAATGTCTCACTCCACAGAGCTATAGCACTTTGGATGTACATTGGTTCTTTTCTAAAAAGAACCATTTTTTTTATCAAGTGCAGGTGTACGTATATATCTACTGCTTGAAGGAAACCTAAAGTGAATTAAAAATACCTTAGCTCATTCAGGAGCATTGTAACACAGACTTCATTTCTGTTATGGATTGTATGTCATGTGCTGTAGGTAGGTAGTCATTTTCAAGTAATACTCTATCTTTGAGAGAGTGAAAAAGCAGTATTTATGTAAAAAGTGTTATTATTGGGAGATTTTTGCATAAACTATATATGGTATTGTAATTCCACGTTCTGCTTTCGTAAACTTAGTATAAACCAGCACAAGATCTTGATCCTCCTTGATCCTGTATATAAAAGGATCCTTTATATAAAAGGATCAAGGTTATAGCACCTTTTCATGTGGTACTATACCTAACTCAGAAATATCTTGAGCAAAACAATTGCAAGTAAGGATAAAACAAGCTGCAGAAGTACAAATTTTCTTTAATAAATTGCATTTTTTTGCATAGCAAGGAGATAACCCTCAGAAGAAAGAAAATAGGATAAACCCTATTTCCTTTTCTAATTTTACTTAATTTCACTTCAAGATTTAAATGTAACCCAAAAGTCAGATAAAATGAAATTGTTTGGTATCCTTTGCACAGTAGCAATAAGTCATGTTCCAGTCTCAAACAGTAGAGCTGGTGTGCTCATGCTGATTCTTTTTATGTTTTATTCTTTAAGGAAAAGATTGGTTACTTGAATAGTGAGGAGATAGCTGGTTAAGGTTTATTAATAGAGTTATCTGGAGAATATTCTAATTTCTAAAAACTTAGTGGATAAACTTTCCATGATGGCTTGTATCTCCTAGTATTTCTGGTCCTGCGTGTTTCAGAGATCCAAAATATATCACAAAATTTAAAACCTCTTTGACGCATAATCTGTTTTCAGGTGGATATGGCTATAATACAGAGGAAATTCACAGAACTGCAGAAACACCTGTTTTCTCCCTTTTTTTTTTTTGAGGGCCTTTTTTGATTTTGTGAACTAAATGCGAGCTAGGCAACTATGGGTGAGTTCTGCTTGTGCCACCAGCTCACTGTGGCTCTTTGGTTAAGTCATGCAATCTCTTTTTCCCTTACATTCCGCCTTGGGTAAAATGAAGATATAAGAGTAAAAATTGTATAAGCCTTAAAAATTTTAAATTAGGTTATTTTAAGTAGTTTGGAAGTTATTACCAGAAAATACTTCTTAATATTAGGTATAAGGTGTGAATCTTCAATAATTGCATTTATATGTATTATTAAAAATGGGACTTTGGAGTATCTGTGTAGAAAATTTCAGTGTTGTATTTCCATAGCGTTGCTATTAAGAGTATAATTTCTGTAATAACATGTTCTGGCACTCAGACTATTTGCCTATCAACTAGACTTAATCACATTTGAATATATTTCTGCATTCTCCTGTTGGATGGGAGCCCTTTTAGTTTGGAGATGGAACATACAAGTGGTCCTGAGCGGGAGCGGCAGCCGCTTGTGCACCTCTTACCGCTCCTGCAGTTTGCCGTTCCCATCGTCTTTATTCGCACATAAATAACCAGATAGGCCCTTAACTGCCGGCTGTGTTTCCACGTGGCCAGGTGATCTCACCTCAGCGCATTCCCGCCACCGTGACGCCCACCTTGCTGATGTCCCCGATGGTGTTCGCGCAGAGCGCGCCCGCTGCACCCAAGGCCGGTCACCAAGATGCAGCTGCAGGAAACACTTCTGCACCTCATTCAGGTAGAGTGGCCACGCTGCTCCTGCTTTGCTTAGCGCCCGCGTTCCTGCTCTGGTTTAAACGCCCACGCACCTAATTGCATCCATCTGCCTAGAGTCTATATGAATAATTAAAACACATTTGCAGTTGTGCTACTTACGGCTGTATGTTCAGGGCGCAGTAGGTCATGGAGCAGGAAGGTGACAGCCTCTCTCTGCAAACCGCTGGCTTAAATGCATTTTGATTAATGGATGTAGTTCGGTGTTCAGGAAAGCTAACAAATTTGAAGGAAAAGAGCAAAGATGGTCGAAGCCTTCAAAAGGTTGGCCTGTAAGCCAGAGAGATATTTATTATATCTTTAGCTAAGGCTAAATAACGGGTGATTATCCTAGCTGCCAAGTATTTTCAGAGATGCGTGTTAACAGTAAAAGGAATCCAGATGGGAAATCAAAATCACAGGACGAGCCTGAGGAAAATTAAAATATGGGTTAGGTAATCTAAAAATATATTATTTCAGTCCATTCTATGCAGTTCTCTGGTTTGAGTGCTAAAATTCTTTTTGATACAGTTACTCAGATTTAAATGTGACAGAGCATTAGTAGTGTTATATAAGAGGCAACTGTTTACTGATGTGGGATGGTATGACTGATTATGAGTATTTTTTCTTTAACTTCTCATGTGATTACTGCCTAGAAGAATAAATATTGAGGTTGTAGACCTGAAGAACTCAGTATAAGCAAAAGGAATTAGAGACAGGTTTAGGATTCCAGTTTGTAGGCCAGAACTATGAACCTGTATGACTTTGGAATAAAAATAAAAGTTATTACTGGAATGTTGAAGTGACTCATTTAAAATTCAATTTAACTTATAGACCCAGAAAGATAATAGTATCTTTAACAAGTGGGAGACTTTTCTCATTTTTTTTGCTGTATTTTTAGTATGGGATTAAAAAAAGAAAAATACCAATTGTCCTGTCTTTATATACTTGGAATATCTTGGAATGTATGTGGATAGTAGGAAAGCCATATATTAAGTTAAAAAAAAAAAAACTAGACAAGGGAAATAAATAGGATTTTAACCTGAGAAACTGTACTCGCAAAGTGTGCATTTGACCCTGCTATTCCTGGTGATAGTAAGGGTTAAGCAAGTTTCCTGGAAATTGTTTGCTGTTTAATACTGTGATACTGACTGACAATTTCTCACCTCTTATTTTTTGATTTGTAACTGCAATCTCAGATGGTCCTGGTTTTCCTCAAGGAACATCCTGATTTTAATTATCTTCATGTATTCATGTGAGCTACTTATGACATTCATTCTTAATTTGACCAGTTCTTGCAAAATGATCTTCAGAAGGAAAAAGTTAAACAAGCATCAGAGCAAAAGGAGCAGCATCAGTTAGGAGCATTAAGTCTAAAAGAGCTAAACAAGATGCAAGGATTTGCCCAGGTAGGATTTAGAATAGGATCAAATACCAGAGTTTATCAATGTTCCTTCAGACAACCTTGGCATTACTATTGAAGTAATAGAGGAAACTAAGAAAACCCCAGGTTAACTGAGAGCAAAAGGAAGAAATTAAAAGGATGTATTGTCACTGCAGTATCCTAAGAGTAGTTTATCCACCAGTTAAATCCACCATGAGTCTAGAAAATCTGCTTTCATTATATATTCTTTACTTCTTACAGAGATAGAGTCCAGTTTGCCACAGTAATAATTGATAATTTCATATACCAAAATTCTTGCAGGGCTGCTGGCAAGTCTTGAAAGTAATGTATTGTTTTTGGTGATGGAAACAAGCCTTCATACACCTGGCTTTTTTATATAGAAAAAGGTTGAAAAGTATTTGTTGCATGAAATGGAGAGAGCTTGTAATCGCTTTAATAAAGAACCTCTATCTTGCAGTAACCATGATCTGTTTTGTTTTTCAGAATGATGACAACTTCTTAAATATAATTTATGAAGCATATCTCTTCAGCGTGAGAAAGGCGGCAATGAAAAAGCCTATGTGAAAGATGATTTTTAAATTAAATTCCAATGACTTCCTGAATGCAGGGAAAAGATTCAAATTTTTCAAGTAATGTTATGTTTTAAAAACTTCTGTCTTACAAAAAAATTAAACCGAAATGGATGGTCTTTAGGCACTTTGCATACATGTAGATTTTGCTTCTTGGGAAGTATATGATGTACTGAGAAAGGTGGGTGGAATCGGATTGTGCCTTCAGGGAGGGGAGTGTCACGATACTGAAGACTTAATCACAAAATATCTTAAATTATTTTTCTTTTATGAGCCCATGCTTAGGGTTGTTTCTCCTGCATAAGGGCTCTGTTCTCAAAGTTCGGTTTCCTCCTTTAAATTATGCTGTGGTTATTCATCGACTAGGTATTTTACATGGATTTTCGCTGAGAGAGATGCCATAAGCAACTTTCAAAACGAACAGTACTCATTTCTGAACGCATGGTGGCAATGTTGGACTATTTTCAGCCCTGTGAAAATATTGGCAAAATTTTGAAACCGAAAGTTGTAAGTAGGAACTTCCATCACCCTGTTTAGTTGTCTGCAAAACAATTTAGAAACTATTTAGAAAAAATGCCATGACTTTACCCCAAATTTTGTAGAAAAATCTTTTTCTATCTTAACAGCAATATTTTTAGCTAGTTGTAGAAATGGGACGCTGGAAGGCCTTTGGTGGATTGGGGTGGGAGGGGGTTCTTTGTGATTGTTGCTATCAGCATAGCTTCAGGTGGCACTGGATTCATGTTTCTATTCTTCAAGATCAAATCTGCATTACTATAAGCCATGTACAGCTTTGTTAAGAGGGAGGCTACCTGGTGTAAAAGTCCTACTTTTTTCAGTGTGTTCGTGGAGCACAATGATTTCATTGATCCATTTCTACAAAAGAAAATAAAATGGACTTATCTCTACTCTGTAGTGATTTCATCTTATCATACCACAGACTATGTATTAAGAATTGTTGGGTTGCTTGTATTAGCTCTTGTTTTAACATGTTTTTACACTTGGCAGAAAACACATTAATAAGGTTTTAAATCAATTATTATTTAAATTGCTGAAAGAAATTATATTTTTATTAGCATCTGGTGCTGAAGTGCGAGTTAGGAACCCAGTCCCAGTTGCTGGGGAGACATTCCTTGCATGGTACAGAGAGCCTCATCTGTAATGCGCAAATGAATGTACACTCTGCTTTGCTCTGAGTAACGCTGTGGGCACAATTCTCTAGCCTCTTCTGTGAAGGAAAGCTTCTTCAGGGTGAAGTAGGATGCAGGTTTCAGTGAGCATAGTTGGAGCTATTTATACCATTGCCCTCTCCCCCTGTCCTTACTCTGGTATAAGAGTGATTTGGAGGGTTTGGTTTGGGCTTTCTACTTAGATTTATTGGGAA